TATACATTCCAATACTCCCCTACCCCCCCCCCCTCCCAAGTTGGAGGGTGGAAGACATCGAGCACACCCAGCTTGGAAAGAAGAAGATGATGTTAGCTTATGCCTAAGACTTTGGTTAGCAAATCTGCAATCTGTAATTGAGTGGCCAGATAGGTAGTCTGAATCATCCCCTCTTTTACTTTCTCACAAACAAAGTGACGATCGATGTCAATATGCTTTGTTCTCTCACGGAATTGTGAGATTTGCAGTAATTTGGATAGCTTCTTTACTATCACAACGAAGTGGAACTGGCCTGGGAACAGACACTCCAAGGTCCTGTAACAGACCAAGTAGCCACACAACTTCTGCTATACATGGTGCCATGCTTCTATATTCAGTTTCTGTCAATCTTCTACCGTGTTGTTTCTTCGACTTCCAGGAGATTAAATATTCACCCAATTTGATGGCATAGCTTGTCACTGAGCGCCTACTGTTAGGGCATGCAGCCCAGTCTACATCACAGAATGCATTCAACTGAGTTGTGGAGTTCTTAGACATGAATATCCCTAAGCCCGGGCATCCTTTAATGTATCTAATCACTCTTAGTGCTGCATCCTAATGTGATGTCTTTGGTTGTTGCATGAATTGACTAAGGACTTGTATTGTGAAGCAAATGTCTGGCCTTGTGATTGTCAGATAAATAATTTTCCCACTAACTTTTGATAGTTGTTGATGTCCTCTAGTAAAGGAGCATCTGTGCATCCTGTCAGCTTGTCATATTCTGTAGTAGTCAACTTAGTGTTGGCTTCAAGAGGCGTGGACATTATCTTTGCACCACTTAATCTCACATCTGACACCAATTCTAGGGCATCCTTCCTTTGATTAGGAAGTATCCCTTTTTGTGATCTGAGCACTTCAATTCCCAGGAAGTACTTGAGCTCACCTAAATCCTTCACTTTGAAATTATTGTGCAGAGTTTGTTTTGCTTCATCAACTAGATCCTTGCCACTACCAGTGATAAGTATATCATCCACATAGATTAGGATGATCATAATGCAGCCTTCTTGTTGCTTAGTGAATAGTGAATGATCATGTGGACTTTGACAGTATCTAACTTCCAATATAATGGTAGTAAGCTTGATGTTCTATTGTCTTGACGCTTGTTTGAGCCCATACAGGAATTTCAGCAGTTTATAGACCCTATATTCCCCCTGTTTATGGAATCACTGTGGTAGGTCCATATAGACCTCCTCATATAAGTCTCCTTGAAGGAAAGCATTATTGACATCCATTTTATATAAGAACCAATTGTTTGAAGCTACTATACTAGGATAAAGGTCTCATGGTAATTTAGTCCTTCCAATTGTGTATATCCCTTTGCCACCAATCTAGCTTTATATTTGTCTATCTTTCCATTGGCTCTATGTTTAATTTTGTATACCCACTTAGAGCCTATGACTTTCTTCCCAACTGGTAGTGTCACTAGCTCCTAAGTCTTGTTGCCTTCTAATGCATCCATTTCTTGTTGCATTGCTTGGATCCACTTAGGATCTGTAGAAGCTTCCTTGAAAGATTTAGGTGCAGTTGGTACAGAAAAGGAACCCAAATAATCCTGATAACTTGGACTGAGATGAGAATATGTGACATACTGTGATATAGGATATGTGCAATATGTTCTTGTCTTAATAGTAGTGACATAGTCAGTGAGCCATATTGGTGGTCTGGCAACTCTACTTGGTATGGTATTGGTGGCTTCCTGCACATGAAGGTCTTGGTTTATTTTCTTATCTGATTGCAGTGATTTACCTGGTTTCCTGCGTCTGGTGATGCATTATAAGGCTCTTGTGAAGTAGCAATTAAGTCATTTGTCTCTAGTATTGGACTTGGAGGTGTAGCAGGTGTGACAATTATATGTGTTAAGTCTTGTGTAACATGTGGTAATAGTAGGAGTTTCTGTATGTGTTGAGTCCATCCCTCTATATATATATTGGTTCTCTGAATAAGATGTCTGGTGCCTCCTCATGTCCTGTAGTTCTGAAAGGAAACATGGATTCCCTGAACTGTACATCCCTATTGACAAAAATTTGATGATCATCAAGGTCATAAAGCTTGTATCCCTTTTGTGTTTTAGAATATCCCAAAAACACTGTCTTCCTTACTCTACCTGCAAACTTATCACCTTTAGGCAATATACTCGCATAGCAAAGACAACCAAATACTCTGAGGTGATCAGATTTTGGTGGTCTGCCATACAATAGTTCATATGGTGTTCTGCCTTGCAACATTGTAGATGGTAGTTTGTTGATCAAATAGATTGTTGTTCTAACACAGTCTCCCCAAAACCTGGCTGGCATTGAACTATGAAAACTCAATGCTCTAGCCACCTCTAATATATGTTTGTGCTTCCTTTTTACAACTCCATTTTATTGTGGAGTGTATGAGCAACTACTTTGATGTATAATACCATTACAAGCTAACAATTCATTGTATTTGGTATTAAAAAATTCTGTGCTATTGTCAGATCTCAGGATCTTAACATTCCTGTCAAATTTATTTTTTATTAAGGCAAGAAATTTTTTCAGCACCACAAACACCTCACACTTAGATTGAATCAGACAAATCCATGTAAATCTACTATCATCATCTACTATGGTAACAAAGTAGTACTTCTTATCATATGTAGTTTTCCTATATGGTCCCCAGACAGCAAGATGTATCAATTGAAAAGGATTGTCAGTTTTGCTACTACTATTAGGAAATTTCAGTCTGAATTGTTTTGCCAGAGGGCATATCTCACAACATTCTCGAATGCTGATGTCAACGTTATTTTAAAGGCTTGCAACATGTTGCATAACTCCAATTGAAGGGTATCCTAGTCTTAGGTGTCATAGCTTGCCATTCTTTTCCTCCTTATGAACAACTGTTCCTACTGCAGGTTTTATTACCTCCTGTAGTATGTACAATCATTCTCTCTCCTTATCAATCCCCAGGACTTTCCCATTGAAGAGTCCCTGAAACACACAGAAATCAAGGAAAAACAAAGGTACATAGGAAAGTTGCTTGGTTATTTTCGATACTGAGAAAACATTGAACTTGAAATCTGGAACATGTAAAATATTTTCAAGTTCATATTTTCCTAGGATCACTGCATTCCCTACATTTGTAATTTCTGCTCTACCACCAATTGGTATCTGCACCTTGCTATTGTTTTAATCTCTCAATAATCTAAAAGCAATCAATAGCTCTTTACATGATGTAATATGGTGTAATAATCCTGAGTCATTTATCCATGCAGAAGTAACGGAAGTGTGAGATCATACCTGCTATATTACTTGTTATGTTGCCCATATCTTCATTTGAGGCTGGCTTGTCTAACATGCTCAAAATCTGTTTGTACTGCTGCTCTGTAGAGAAATGTCTACGACCTTGCCCTTCTGATATATTTCCTCCATCTCCTGCCATTGTGGAGTTAGAAAAGGTCCTAAATCCACCTGTCTGTACACTCTTCTTCTTACTCTTGAAATCATGTAGATATCCAATTATCTTATACGAATTTTCTTTCAAATGTTCCTTGTATCCATAATGCTCACAGACTATCCCAAGTTTCTTAGGCTTAAAACCTTGGTATGTCTTCCCTGCTAGCATTGTCAAAAGGTCTCTATTCACATCCACCACACCTAGACATCTCTAACTTTCCCCTTGAGTTACAATAGC